ATATACACATTTAAAAAAAGTTTCCACCCTTTGTCCCAGACTCCCGGTCCTCCTGCCTGCCAGCACTCGGAATCTGGCCTTTGTGAGCACGCGAGACCGGGGATCGGGGTACAGCCTTGCATGCTTCAACGAGTCGGCAACTCGTATGATCCCCCGCATTGAATCCGCTCGCTCGAATTTTGTCGTTGGTCACCAATCATAAAAAACGCCTGGACTTCAGCATTAAACACGGTGTTGTCATTACTGTTTTTAAAATCTTTAAAATAGATCCAGCCATTGCTCCGAGTTCTAAGAAATTGCAAAGGGAGGATCGGTGAAAAGTTTCTGAGATTCAGTGACTCCTCCCCCTGACCAGTCAGTGTCCTGCATTCACGTTTCTGTCCTGACTCAGCTCGCATGGTCCCACCAGAGGAGCAGGGACAAAACAGAAAAACAACATTAAAAATGAGCCATTTTTAATGTTGCTTTAATAACTGACGGTTTTGTTCAGTTTTTATTTTATAAAGACACATCATTTTAAATTTAATATTTTCACATGGTACACCCAGTTACATAACTCCTTTTTAAAAATCTGCAGTACTTCCTTGTCCAACAAAACGAGGACTAATTTTGTTGGGTGCTGCACATTTTCCTGGTCTACTTCTCTGCAGCGTGCGCTGGTGTAGGCCCAGTTGAGGCCAACGTGTGCCCAGATGAGATAACGCAGTGCAGGCAGGGGGGTGGGTGTGGGGGTGGTACCGGGGAGTTCTGCCACCAATGAAAAAAATGACAACTTGGAACATAGCCAAGTCTTTCTTCTTAGCCGCTTTCCGACTCACTCCTTATGTCATGTAGCATTCTGCATGAAACAAGTCAATACAGAGATGGAGCACAAGCAAACAAATGAGTTGGACGTGTGTGTGTATGTGTGTGTGTAGATGCACAAAAATAGAAGAAAACACACATGTAAATATGTGTGTGTTGGGGAATTATCGTTGTAAAAAGATGTGCAGGAACTTTCTTCATCAAAAACATTGGCACACGATCAGAGGAGTGTAAACTATTGTTGGAAGACACCCTCCTCTTTCCTTGTGCACACAGCAAACACACCCACACACATGCACACACGCACGTACGCGCGTGCACACACACACACACACACACACAC